CAAAATGTATACAGAAATGAACTATTATGAAACTTGTTTAATACATTATTTTCCATTTCTGTTAGGATTAAATATAGAGCATAAGCCTTCTTTACGTAATGATATTAAGTATAAACACAGAGCATATGCAATTCTATAAAGGATTAATTTAAGTAAAACATACATTTAGCATAAGCTGACATTGTGAGACACTATAAAATTTCCTACAACTTTATTGGATTAAAAACACATTTATTATTCACATTAAGTCTTTAGATGAGTTTTAAGACTTCATGAGGTTCTATTTTCATGGTATATTTATTATGAAGAAACTATTACTTTTAAAATTAATATTCATTATTCCTAACAAACCATTTTGTCTAAATCACAATTAATTGTGTGTATATGCTTAATATAAGAGAAGTCCTTGTTTAAGAAAAAAAGAAAAATGAATGATGCCAATTATTGATTTCTGCTGACTATATTACATTTCTGAAATTATGCTGCCTCAGTTATCCATTGTGTAAGAAGCCATAGTGGATTAAATGAACAATCATTTTTGTTGCTGTGGTTCTGAGGGTCAAGATTCATGCTGAGTTCGGCAGAAACTGTTTCATTTGGTGTCAGCTAGGGTCACTTATATAATTCCATCTAGCAGTGGACTGACTTGGCAAAACTGGGTGGGAAGGTTCAGAAGGGCCTTTCATAATCAGAGCACTGGGACTGGAACTCCTTGATAAGTGATCTATTATCTCTCCTCAGTCAGGTAACCTGGATTTCTTAACATGACAGCTCATTCTGAGAAAGCAAGAGTGGATGCAGATGAGGTCTTAGAACTTGTACAGAGTCAGTTTCTCCACATTCTATTGGTCAAAGCATGTCACAGTATTAGACTGTCATCCTGGGAAGAGAAATATGTAGTCTTCCCCTTTTTCTTTTTTGGTACGGGGGATCAAACTCAGGGCCCCATGCATACTAGGCAAACTACCACTGCGCTACATCCATAGCTCTAATAGGTGCCATCTCTTGATAAGAGAAACGGCAACATGATATTGCAAAGAAGTAGGGACTTGGAAGGAGTGATCCATTGGTGGTGACTATTATCGCATAATAATCCACCACATATACAAACTAAAATCTAGTTTATCAAAAATTAATTAAGCACCTCTAATCCCAACACTCAACAGGCTGAGACAGGAGGATCTTAATGCCAACAGGGCCAATAAAAATGTTGCTATGTAAGATAAATTAAGTATAAATAACTAGAATACCATGATAACTTTAGAATGCACAAATGTCTTCACAGATTTTATTTATTATGGCAACAAACCTATCGGTGGCAACAATACCATGCTTGACAATGACAAAACTAATTTGATTTAGCATTCTGTATAATACCCTCCCACCTTCCTGAAGTTCAATCCTTCCCGAAGAAACAGGCTAACAGGATATTCATTGATCTAAGATGGAGATGCTCTGTGCACAGGAAGACTTTTGTCAGAGATCCCTAGGAAGGGTTTGGACATACTAGTGTCAAAGCACAAACTCATCTACATTTGCATGTTTATCTTCCTTGAATGTAAGATTCTCACAAAGAGAATGATATGTGACATTGATCAGTGTTGTGCAATATCCAAGCCTAGACACAAGGTTAAGGTCTGAAAAGTTGCTCTTTTTTTTGTTGTTTTGTTTTTTTATTTTTTTGGTACCGGGGATCAAACTCCGGTACTTGCGCTTGCGCAGCAGGTAGCGAAACCACTGAGCTAAATCCCCTACCCAAAAGTTGCTCTTTTAAAGAAATGGCTTATGCCAGCAGTGGTGAACTTATTGCATGTGTTGCAGTGGGCTGTTTATATCATTGAAATCTGTGAAAGGTTTGCCATCACTGGGTTATGCTATCACTTATCAGTTAATTGCTACACTTAATTGGTAATTATTTTCACAAAAGTGCCTTCCTTCTTTGAATGCAACCACGCTTAAAATCACTGTTTTTATGCTAAAAACATTCTCAATTCTGATGCACTTATTGCTTATCCTTATAGCTCCTACAAATCTAAAGCAATAAGTAAGACATTTTGCAGTGGAATTTAAGTAGAAAGTAATTTTTGAAACATGATCAACCAGCTAAAAATTAAAACTTTGAGTATAGGTAAAAAAATGCACCTGTCATTTCAGGAAAAAATGGGTTGTTTCTGTGCTGAGCACTGAGCAGTAGCTGGGATTGCTGAAGGGCTGAAGTAACTAAACCAGCTTTTTGTATTCTGGTTGTTTCAGCTCTTTTGAAGGTTATACTCAGTTTTGCTTTTTGCTCATTTTTTATGCAGTAATTATATGCTATTGTGTAATACGAATAAGTCCAGGGAAGTTTTTTTTCTGTTTATATATTTTAAATGTCATCTTCAAAGATGCCCTGAGAAGGCTTGAGCCAATCAATAGCTACAGCCAAACATATTACTATTTACTTGGAACATGAACATTATTTTATTAAAATTTAATTATTTATATGGAGCAGAACTAAGCCACAGATAGCTTGCAGGAGTTCCACACAGATCAATATGTGACAAAATACTAAATCTGATTTTGTTTGAATCATAAAACACACAGTGCCAGATCTGAGCTAAATGTATTTTTCATTTGGTTATCACTATGAAAAGAAGAAAGAAAATCTATTTTATAGTTGGAAGTGGGAAAGCTTTTCATTCTTGGGCTTTCGAGACCTAATCCCCTGTTTTATCTGTGTTGAAAACATGGGTTTTCCCACTGGAGTTTATTGTAATAGCACTTTATGGGTAAGTGCAGTGGAAACAAGCGTTTCCTTCCTGCCACAGAGCATGGCAGGTGGGTGTACTGAGGCTGTCCTGAAAGTTTCTTGAGCCAGCTGTCCTTGCTTATAACATGCTCTGATGAACACACTCTGATGAAGCTTGACAGTCAAACACTGGTATTTCCCACACATCCTTCTTTTCTCCCACATCTCCATTCTGCCTGCCACAGATGCTCCTTTGAGTGGCTGAGGAGTTTATTGGTATTTACTGTACTGAAGGCAGGTGGAAACAGGTCCTCAGAGTCAAGGCATATGCAGTGATAAGGGAGCTAATCTGCTGGGTTGGAGAACCCCCAGGAGGTGGCACCTGGGCCGTGCAATGCTAATTTTGGTTACAAACTAGAGAACAAGTCAATTTCTTTGACATGTGTTATTGTACTTTACCCAAATTATCATTAAATTAAATTAAGAGGGGTTCTAGTGCTAAGCTATTTTGTTTGGATTCTTCCTTTATCCATTGCTGAATGAATAACTGTGCTTCAGTTCCTTCATCTGCAAGACAGAGAAAATAAAAGCATAATTATAAGAGAATTTGCTTAGAAAATGCTAATGGCAGATAAGGTGCTTAGAACAGGGCCTAGCACAGAGTAAATACTCAATAAACATAAGCCCTTATTTTTAATTATAATTTACCTTTATTAAAAATTTTAAATGGGGTATATTACTATAGTCCTAGCCTAACTGTCATGGTTTATTAAACTAAAAGTTTAAAACTTTAAATATCAACTACTCAAGCACTGCTATACAGATTTTTAAAAATCAACATTTTGTTAGTTTTACTTTAGATTTTTAAATATACAGAATTGAAGTACTTTATATTCATTTCTTCTCCTAAAAAAGCTTGAAGTGAATTTGATTTATATCAAATAAATGGTATCATACTGTATTTTTCTGTTTTCCTTCAATATTATAAATTTGAGATCTACATTGCTGTATATACCATAGGTTTAATGTATGTATTTCGTAGGGATCACCATTATTCATTCCCCTACTAACATGAGTTTTGGTTGTTTCCAGTTTTTGTTATTAAAAGAAATTGTACCATGCGCGCCTTATTTAGTTGAGTGAAAGCTTTCTTTTCTCCTTTGGTAGTGGGGATTAAAAACCCAGGGGAACTTTGCAACTGAGCTACATCTCCAGCCCTTTTGTATTGTGAGAGCGCAGTCTCACTAATTTTTCAAGATCAGACTTGTATCTGTGACCCTCCTGCCTCAGCATCCCAGGTAGCTAGAATTATTGACTTTGTGCCACTATGACCAGTTCCTGAGTGGAAGTCTATGGAATATAGAGAAAGAGATATTATCAGAGCACTGTGCATTTCTGCCTTTATTAGACATTACCAAATCACTGTCTACAAATTGTTAACAAAAAATACAGGTGGAAGCCATGTTTATATATAACCTAAGGCCAACCATCCATAACCACATGGTCAAAAATTTGTCACCTTGAATTTCTGAATTGCTAGCTGTAATCATAAACAAAACACAAAAGCTGTAAGCTTTACCTTGTTGTTAGCATAATTCACCAAAATTAAACCAATCAGCTACAAACAAGCAGTTCAGGGTTTTTTGCCCTAAAAAGGAATGGTGATGTATAATAGCCAACTACAAAAAAGTCAAAATATTTCCTTCTTTATGCTTTATAAGCTGTGCCTTAATTGCTATAAGGAGGCTTTTTACTGCTTTCAGTAGCAGGTCTCCTAGTTCAAGAACTGCTCTTTTGTAGCCATAATAAACTTGTTAAAATTATAAAAATAGGATTTTATCTTGACACAATTGACATTCCCATCAGAAGCCACTGAGAATTCCTCTACTCGATGTCTTCAGCATTATTTGGTATTGACAATTGTTTTAAATTTTGCAGATCTGCTAAATATGAATTGTACCCTGTTTTAATTGGAATATACCTGACACTTAGTAAAACTGAACATCTTTTTTTCATAGTTGTTGACTGAGTTTCCTCTTCTATGGATTGTATATTTCTCTATGCATTTTTCTAGCAGGAAGTTTTTATTTTTCCTTCAGTTGCTTTTGTTTTGAAAATGGATATGGCGGACTGTAAGACAACTTAGTAGTTCTAAATGCATATCATTTATCTAAATTATGAAGATTTATTGCAATTTAATAATATATCATGAATTTATTGAAGGACATTTCTAACTACATAAGTAACTACTTCTTATTTTTTGTCACCAGGGAAAATATTTCTGTTGTCCCAAAGATGATTTCTCAACAATGCATCATTTTGCTGGCAGATTTTACCTCAAAGAATATGAAGAGTAATAGGCCATATTATTTTAAACACATAGTCTCTTTACTTGGCTGTAAGTATTATGGTTGTTTTATTATAATATTTTATATTTATCTGTAAAGGTTCAGCAGTTTTTATTGATTGTCTACTGAATAACTAGGCACTGGGCCAGACTGGAGATGCAGGGAGGATCAATACTGTCATGTCCTTCACTAGTTTTGGGTTAGTGGGGAATAAAATAAAATCCCAATTTTAACCTTCAGGAATGAACTTTCTGTTAGGAGACATTCAAACCACACGCAGAGTGTAAAATATACGCTCCATATCTGGTAGGGGAGCCTTTGGAGGTAAAGTGACTTCTAAATGACTCCTGAAGGATGAGTAAGAAGAAGGAAAGGGTGTTCTAGGCAGCAGGAACTGCACATGTGAATGCCTAGAAGGAAAGAGAGATACATGCCCCCATGAAACAGTTTTATGTAAGGTCTCAGCCTCTTGGAATGGGTGTGGTCTACAGAGAGAGAGTGGGGAATCACTCAGACTGTAATCCGAACCCAAGAAAGTGTGTCAGATGAGGAAAAAAAGAGCAGAGAATGAGGCTTCTGTGAAGAAGACAGAGAAATTTACAGAGAGAAACAAGGCAATTGGTATGTTGTAGCTAAAAGAGCCAAGAGAAGGAAGACGATGAAAGAGGGTTGATGCATTCACTGCACCAAATATGCCAAACAGTCAAATGAGACAGGAGCCCAAACTAACTCACTAGATGAAAAAACAGTTCAACTTGTGAACTTGGTGAGGGGGTTTTGGTGGAGGTTGAGGGGTCAGTGGGAGCCATTTTTCTAGGACCATTTGCTAAAGAAGCTATCTTGTCTCCAGTAAGTGTTTTTGGCACTTCTGTCAAAGATCAAATAGTTGGATGTATCTGGGGTTGCTTGTGCATCTTCTGTTCTGTTCCACTGATGCATATGTCTGTTTTTGTGCCAATACCATGATGCTTTTATCACTGTAACCTTATAGTATAATTTGAAGTCAGATATTTTGATGTCCCCTTCTTTGTTCTTATTCCTCAGGATTGTTTTGCTATTCTAAGTCTCTTTTGGTTCCATATAAATTTTAGGATTGTTTTCTCTACTTCTGTGAGGAATGCTGTTGGCATTTTAATTAGGATTGCATTAAATTTGTGTTTCAGTTTTGCTAGTATGGCCATTTTGACAATTTTCGTTCTGCCTATCCAGAAAGGGAAGTACTCCTTCCCTTTTGATTTCATTGGAAACTTGGAGAAGTACTGGTGTTATATCCTCCATGAAGGTCTTATAGAATTCAGCAGTTAATCCATCAGATTCTGTACTTTTCATAGTTGGTAGGATTTGTATTATTATATCTACTTCCTTACTTTTTATTGGATTGTTCAGAATTTTTGTTTTTCTTGGTTCATTTTGGGTAATTCATGTGTTTAGGAATCTTTCCATTTCTTCAAGATTCTCCAATTTTTTTGAGATATAATTTTTCTTAGTAGTTACTATCTATCTTGTAGATTTCAACAGTGTCTGTTGTAATTTTACCTATTCATTTCTAATTGCGTTAATGTGAGTCTTTTAACTTTTTTTCTTAGAAAGTCTGGCTTATTCTTTCAAAGAACCAGTTCTTCAATTCACTGATTCTTTGTATTATGTTTTTAGTCTCAATTTCAGTGATTTCTGCTCTGGTGTTTATGATTTTCCTCCTTAAACTGGGTTCAGGTTTGGATTGTTGTTTATCAAATATCTTCAGGTTCATTTTTAGGTTATTTATTTGAGCTCACTTTGTTTTTCTAATGTGAGCATTGATTACAGTAAGCTTCCCCATTGGAACTTTCATTGTGTTCCATAGGTTCTGAAGTATTGAACTGGCATTGTATTTTGATTCCAGAAATTGTTTAATTTCTTCCTTTATTTTTTTCTGTGACCCATTGGTTCTTGGTTTAGGTAAATTTTCTGTGGTTTCTTTTGTGATTGATTTCTAGTTTCGATGTACAGTGGTCTGATAGTATACATGAGGTGACATCAATTCTTTTGTATTTATTTAAGCTTACTTTGTGGACTAGTATTTTTGGAAAGAGTGTCATGTGCTATGAAGAAGAATATGTATTCTGTTGTAATAGGATAGAACACTCTGTAAATATCATTTAAGTTCATTTGTTGAAAATGTGATTCAGATATCATATTTCTTTGTTAACTTTTTATTTAGTTGATCTCTTTGTGAATGTGTGTTATTGAGGTCACTCATTAGATTGTGTTGGTGTTTAGCTGATCTTTTATATCCAGCAGTATTTGTTTTATAAAGTTAGGTGCTCCAGTATTCAGTGCATATATATATAGTGGTACTGTGGTTCATGAACTTAATTTGTTCCATGATTCTGAAAAAGATGGCCACATTCACGTTCTTGTGGGGAAGATGGCTCCAGTCATGTTCTTCACCCAATGCAGAGTTCACAAACTCAAACAAAATTTTTCCAACCATTTCTGTTTGCAAACTAAATTGTTCACAAACAAAAGTATTCATGAACTGAGACACTACTGTATTTACAAGTATTATCTCTTCCTGTGGGATCATTCCCTTAACTAGTATGTAGTGACCTTCTTTGCCTCTTCTGTTCAGTTTTAGCTTGAAGTTTATTTGTCTGAGAGTAACATCGTCTTGTTTATAGCAACACAATTCATAATAGTTAAATCTGGGAAGCGACCTATGTATTCATCAGCAGATGAAAGAACAAAGAAAATGTGGTACTTATACACAATGGAGTACTACTCTGCCATAAAGAAAGATAAAGTTAAGTCATTTTGTAGAAAAATGGTTACCCTGTATGACCATAATGTTAACTGCAATAAATCAGACACACAAGCTTAAATATCAGATGGTTTTTCTTATATGAGAAAGAGCAAAATAAAAGTTAAATAATAGGTAATAGGAAGATAGGAATAATATTTCTATCTGTGTCAAAGGGGCATGATATCAAGAGATGGAGGGAGGATAAAGAAAGGGAGGGCAAGTTGATGAAAAAAGGAATTAAGATGTGCTACTTACATGTACCTACTCTATACAAGGAATGTAAACAATATGATATATACTGCAAAAATATACAAAAGAGGAAAGGGGTCAAGAAATGAATGGAAGGGGAAGAAAAGGAAAGGAAAGGGAATGAAAGTAAGGAATTAAGATGTATTATGTATATATACCAACTCCCCCCAAGGAATGTAAACATTATCTAGTACAAATATATACTAATAAAGAAAATGATCTAAAAAATTGCTACATCTGCTTGCTTTCAGGGTCCTGGTGCATGAAATATGTTTTTCTGTCCTTTGATCTTTAGCCTATGAATATCTTTTTGGATTAGATGAGTTTCTTGAATGCATCAGACTGTTGGATTCTGTTTTTTGTTTTGTTTTTGATCCAGTCTGCCAATTTGTGTCTTTTAATAAGGGAATTGAGACCATTAAATTGAGAGTTATTACTGAAAGGTATTGATTTATTTTTGTCATTGTTTTCTCTTTCTGTTGATGACTCCTTTATTATTTCTTTTTTGTTTATTTGCCTTGCTTGATATAGTCATCCCATTTGAATTTTGGGGTTTGTTGGCTTCATTATCTCTGTCTAGGATATTCCTGAGTAGTTTTTGGAGTGCTTGTTTGATGTTCATTTATCTCTTAAATTGTTTTTCTTTTTTCATGGAATGTCCTTATATGTATTTTAAAATGTAATTTTTCACCAAATTCAATGGAATTAAATTTGTATTTTTCATGAATAAGTACAGCACTGTTCAAATACAACTCTAAATATTATATTTACATTGACATGCCCAAGGTGCCATGTTTCTTGTGTGTGTTTTCTACTTTTTCTCATGTTTACTTTTTAATCCCATGTTGAAGGTACAAATTATCTCTTAAACTCAGTATAAACAAAGTCACTCAAGGGAGAATATTTCTCTATATAAATGGGATAATTAGAAACCAGAAAAATTTGCAGAGTCAGGGTGGGCAGCACAGAACTAGGGCTCAATCATGCTCAGTTGTATTGGCTTGTTATGCAACTCATTATTTTCCTATTTTAATACAGGCTCTCATGTTGCCTTAGACTTTGCCTTTACTTCATGTTTTCCAGACATACAGCAGAAATCATATCTGTTTTCTCCATAGTTCTGATTAGAAAGAGAAAATATCAGGAAATAATGACCTGAAAATGCCAATATATATAAAAAAGTATCTAGATAACAAAGCTGATAGTGTATGTACATAGGGTGATGTATACTATCATACATGGAAAAATTGACTACAGAATATGCAAGGCCATTTTTAATCTACCCCTTTGAATATTGTACAAATATGAATATACATTTTATTTGTATGAAGCACAAATCACTCATGAAATAAGACATTTATATCAATTGCTAAATTTCCAATGGGCTATCTAAATAGTACCTGCAGTTACAGGATATGTGTTAGAAAGTTAAAGGCAGAAATAATTCAGTACAAATGTGCATTATGTATCTTTTTCTAAAGTACCCATTTAACTTGAGTTTTTCATAGTCTATTTGATCAGTTTTAGCATTTTTATAATTAATGTATTTCACTTCCATTGTTCAATTCTGCAATTCCTTTTAGAATTATCATTATATGTCATCATATAATTAGCACTAACTAGATGCTACCTTTTTGTGAGCAGGTGAATGAATTAAATGTTTTATCTCTACAATTTCTATCATCTTCAAATTGTGGTCACAGACATGGAAAGCAGAGATTTTCTGGTTATTTTGTCAGTTGAGGAATCCATTATTTTAATCATTCTGGCAGATGTTCTTGCTTTAATGGAACTTCTTGTAAATATAAATTCAGTCAGTGATCATCTAGATCCTGGGTTGATGCAAAGACTCCAGTTTACATTTGACCCTGTTCCAACCCATTTGACCCTGTTCACTTACTCTTCTTAAGGTTTGCACTGTTTGCATTGCCTGGCAAGGAATAGATTCTACCCTTTCCTCTCTTCTTGCATTCACCGATGCACTTCCTTTGTTCCAAATACTATTCCTTATCTCAACATATCTTGTTTCTCCCTCTTCTTCATGACTCCATTTAACAACCCTCTGAGAGAAATTCAAAACAATGGTCTACCTATCATACTGAGGCTTATGAGACATTGGTCAAGCTGATGAGTTTGTGTCCTGCACAAAGGCAACTGACCTGGAGCAGGTGATCATGTCCCTTTTAAAATTTGGAGGAGTGTCTCCATATTTCTTTTCTTCCTTTGGCAATGTCTAAAGAAGCCATTTATAATTCTGAGGCATAGTTACCCAGTCCTCTTTTAAGAATAATTAAGCATTTAAGGCTCAAAGCAGATTTTTCATCTTGAAGACAACTAAATGGATTTGTATGGTCCAACTTCAACATAGGTTATATTTTAGTAAATGGGTTCTGATTACACTTTCAAGAAGGGCTGCATTGTGTGGATGCTGAGTGGAGACAGTTCATGGAATGAAAGGAAGATTACCTTTTAAGAACTTGGAAGAAGAGTTCCTCTCTGTAATTAAATCAATCATTTCTACTTTTAATGGATTAAGACCCTAGGAATAGTAACATTCATTTGTTTATTCAACAAACATTTAAATGCCTCCACCATGCCAGGAACTGTTCTAATTGCTGGGGATGCAGATGCAAGTCCTTGTATGGACCTTATAGTCAAGTTCAAAGAGACAAACAAATTAATTAAGGAATAGTGATGCATTATGAAGAAAATAAAACATGATGATATAGTAGGGATTAATAAGGAGGCAGATTTAGCTTGTACTGTAGCCTAATCAGTTACTAACTATAATTTAATTTATATTATTGACACGATCAAAAAAAGGACTTTTTGGAAGGAAAAGGTTACCAGTAGACATAGAAAATGAGAGTCAGGCAACTCTCATGGAGGTAAGAGATTTGGTTTTGTTGCTATGAGCAAGCCGGGCCATAGAGAAGGATTTGTGCGTTTTAAAAAAGGAATGTTTTATCCAGTTTCATTTGACTTGGTTGGAATATGCCTTGCCTTATACCTCAAGATAATTCATCTCTCGTTGCTCTATTGCTATGCTTACTAAATGTTTTGATCACTAGTTTGATTAATAATTGTTTTTCTGTTAGTTAAATCAGGAAACAGGAGAAATGGTAGAATACCACTCTTGTATATAAAACCAAAGCATTTCCTTATTGTGAATTGATAACCAGGCTTCTGGTTTATAAATCAGTCTTGTGTGAATTTAGTCTATCCGTGACAATTTCTTCATTCCCCAAGGGTCAGTAAAATCTAATTTCTGATACTACAAAGTCAAGACCACATACTTTACTATGGAGAACTCATTATGATAATGCTTTTCTTGGCATTCCCTAAAAACCAGCTAGCCAAGTTTTCCATTTACTCTACCCTTCTTGCAAACTTCAGAACCATGCTATTCTGAGATGTTAATCAGTGTGGATGTAAAAAGTTAATACAAGCAAACACAATTTTCTCTTCCATGGATGTGTTTTCTTTCATTTAGCATTGTAAATACCCAGAGCCTGCTTATGAGTCTTATTTTTCTGTTTACAGTGGAACAGTTAAGCTCACCATGACTTACACAAAATTAATTGATGCAACCATTAACATTGGAAATATTACAGATATTGATTTCATTTGGAACAAACACTTGTGGACATTCTCACAATAAGTTGGGAGCAGAATGGTGGTAGATATAGCTGGAAAATATGAATATAAGTAAGTACTACTTTTTTCTTTTTATTTCTGAACATTTAAAATTTTATAAATGTCATTAATACCATTAAATAATTTAAAAATTCCAACCAGTATAAAAATTTATGTGTCTTGGAAAATTGCAACTAAAGAAACAAAAACTGAGAAGTTGATACTACGTTTAAGAAGTGTTTAGAAAATAAAAACTATTCATTAAATCAGGTCTCTCAGTGTTCCCCCCGACATGCTTAAATTATCTTAAAATCCTTTTTTGCCCCTTTGAAATATTCAGATCTACTTTCTGTAGATAGGCTATTATAGGACCGAACATTTCCCAGATTCTTATACCATACTAATCCCAGATACAGTCATGATGGATTTATTTAGCAGAAGCCATGAAAAAGTGTCTTTTCTACTTTATATCCAGACCAAAATTGACCCTTATAAAATAAGATAGAAAAAAATTACAGGTTTGTCATTGTCATTTCTGTATAAATGCTTTTCACATTGATTAACTTTCATATGTACCTCAAAGACAGACTGAGCCTTGGAACTGAGTATGAGGTCATGATCTTTAGGATCTGGTTATCAATGACAAAATAGAGCTGGGTTGGAATTTCCTGAATAAGAGGAGGTGATACAAAAGAAAGTAGTAGAGACTCATTGAGCAGAACAAAACCTCTGTCTAAGTGTTTGAAGTACTTAGTCTCTGGCTAAGTGTTTGAAGTACATTTAGAGTATTTACAGGTGGAAAGATCATTGTTCTAAAATGACTTAAAATATTTATTTTATTATGACTTTAAATATTTATGTTGTGAAATATTGCAGAGACAATATGTATATGGCTACAGTTCATGATATAGAGTAATTATATCCATGTGGGTTGATATGCCTACCTATTAATAATTAAAACTAATGAGACTATAGTAATATTTCCAAGGTGTTCCTGAGTTTTCAGGGTGTGTATGAAGTAAGAGAGATTTTGGTTCTTACCTATTGTCTTAGTCACTTTTCTCATCACTGCAACAAAATACTCAGCTCCCACAAGTTAAAGGAGAAGAGGTTTATTTTGGCTCACAATTTATAGAGGTTTCAGGCCATGGTTGGCTGGCACTAAGGCAGGGTGACACAAAAGAGGGGCATGATAGAAGAGAAATAGCTCATGGCATGGTGGCAGGAATCAGAGAGAGAAAGAGTGATCAAGGGAGGAAGGAAAAAGACCCTTCCAGACCATGCCCCTACTGACCGACCTCCTCAGACTAGGCTTCACCTCCCAATATCAAATTTAGCTATAAATTCATCAGTGGAACAATCCACTGATGAGAATCATGCTTCCACGATCCAGTCACCTACCCAGAGCTCTGCCTGTGAATTCATCAGGCCTTGGGTGGGGGGCACATCTAGATTTAAACCATAATACCAGTATGTGTCTATCTTTTAGCAGTTGTACATTGAGAATCATCAGCCTATACCATGATGGCCTCATTTCTCTAAAAGTCCCTGGACATGAGAGAATTACTCCTTTCCTGGGGTCTCAAATGCTCCACTGTGATTTTGTATTTGCCCTAACAGCAGTATTTCACTGCCCTTGAATATCCCTTTGTGTTTGCAGTAACAATATTGTAATATTTAAATGTTTGTCAACTGTATTTTTCTTTTGTTTTGCTTCAGTTTTTTCTAATTCAATCACCCTTGTCCAGTGAAAGAGAAAGATGTATGTCTTTATTTGCTGTTTTCTAATTCTAGAATTAATGTAGACTAGATAGTGTATCATTGAAATGTAGTATTTAGCCTGTAGTACTCTGTGATAGATATTGTTGCAGTGAAATGATGACAGATACTATGGAATTTCTTGATTCTTTTTTTTTGTGATTCACTTCCAGCTAACCCTTAAGAGTCCCTGGGATTTATATAAACAAACCTGAGTTGTAGCAGGAAAGAGAACCAAGAGAGGTAACTCTCTCCCATTGTTCAAGTTGGAGATGGAGGCTATTGGAGCATAAGGCTGGGTGGAAGAAGGAAAGGAGATGCAAGCGTACTTGGCATGCCCCTGCAGAGCGTCCTGCTTTCACTGGTGGTGGGACATACTTAGACCTGAGGGTAGGGCAGTCCAGGAAGGGGATAGCTGTAAGCAAGCTCGATAGAAGGAACTGAACTATACTGACTAATTGTGTCACAACCCCTGCGCTCACTAACAACCAGGTGGTGGAGGCAGCCCATGACTTGTTGGGAGGGGGAGGTGTGGGGAGTCTCCCTGTGAGGGCAGCTGTCCTGAGCCCGTGTGACTAGCTGGGAAGAATCTGGGAAGCCCTGGTAGCTTTAGGCTGTGGGAGTCCTAGTCTGCCTGTGGTCCAAGAGATCTCTAGGTTGTTTCTAGGTTTCAAAAGACAAATGGGAGGCAATTAACTTCTGAGGACTCTATTTTAATAAAGTATAGACTTTCTGTCCCATAGTTCATAATACCTGTTCTTTTTTTTTGCATTGTAAGAAAGTTGTAAGGATAAAAAATAGTGGTATAAGTTATCTAGGTAAAGGAATTCAGAAAGTTCAAAGTGATACCATCATTTTCTCTGTGTGTTATTTCCTCTTAGCGCCCTGCATTATTATACTATGATATTTTTGGCCTGCAATTGGTGGGGCAAGGACTGTTGAAAATTTCTGCTTCTTAAATAGATTACCGTTGATACTGAAGAGTGACTTCCAGTTCAATTTCCGTTTACTTCTTCCCTACCCTATTGCTATTGAGCCAACTCATACTTTGTCGTACCACTCACAAATGTCTACTTCCCAGATCACCAATTGGAATTTGTACCTCTCTCTGACCACAGCTCAGACTTGCTAAGTGACATGTTCAGACTCCCTTATGCGTTCTGATCCATTACCCTTTTACTTCCCTGAAATAACCCAATTTAACAACCCATTTCCTTTCTTAGCCAGCTTAGGTTGCATGATCATTTAATTCATTAACACTTTGTCCTAAATCCTTTTTTCCTCACTCCCTTCTTTCATGTTAGACAAAACATCAACATTGAATGTAGCAAGATTTCCTCTTCTTTTGAGTCTGAACAGCCACATGCTAATGAAGCATTTGTACCAAAGGGAGAATCAATGTAACTATAAGTTGTGATTAAAACTGTCTTGAAATTCTACCTGTTTTTTTAACCCCTCCTGCCCCTAACTCTCCTACTTTACACAGAAAGCAGAAGCCATCAGATAGAAAAGCTGTCCTCTTTTTCCCAAACATATCAACTATCTACACTACAGCCATTCTATTATTTTTCTTTCTAATAGGGAAGCTGCCTCTTTTGTTCCTGGCAATCCATGGGTCTCACGCTCTCCCGCTTCCTTGGGAACCCTACCCTATTGGTTACTTTTGTCTTATTTTATATATACAACCTCTCATTGCATAAGATTTTAAACATTCTTTGTGTCTCCCATTAGAAAAAAAATTCCTCTCTAATCCCATCTTCACCTCAGAACAGCCTTTGCCAGGGTTCCCAGTGACCACCAGTCACTAGGTTGAGTGGGAAATTTACTCCTTAACTCTGTCCCTCAACAGAGGCCAGCACCATGGTCAACTCCTTCCCTCTTTCTAAAATAAATTTTTTCATTTTACTTTTTATTTGCAGAAATTTTCAATTATTTATGACAAAGAAAGTAGTAAAACAGCACTCCTAAGTTCCTGCCAGCCAGCTTAATGGTTTTTAAATTTTGCAAATTCTTTTTTTTAAATACTCACACAAACACATACTCTCTGTTTTTATTTGTTTGCCTTTGCTGGAGTGTTTTAAATCAAATTATAATTATTTCTCCCATTATTATACTTCAGTATGTATCTGTTAACAATAAACTTGATCAATTAACATAACTCTAAAATCCATTTTATAACAATTAAAAATAATCTTTAAAAATTAATAATTTCTTATATCATCTAACATTAAGGTTATATTTAAATTTCCTAAATTGTTTCCAAAAAGTCTCTTGCCAATTAGTTTGCTTAAATTGGGATGGAAACAAAGTACATATACATCATTTGATTACCATGGCCTTAAGTCTCTTTTAATCTATAAGAGTTAACCCTTTCCCTTTTTCCAAACCAACTGTTAAATGAACCAGGTCACTTGTCCTTTAAAATTGCCCGCACTCAGCTGATGGAATGCTCTTGATTTCATTTAACTTATCTATCTGGTATATTAACTCTGACCCTCAGTTAGGTTGAGAGACTTGATGAGATTCAGGTTCCTCTTCCCATACGTGGTAGTCTATAGCATGGGCAACTTACACACCTTGGTCACCAGCTCTCAAGTTTGCTGCTGATTTTTTTCTAAAGGACTATGAATGCAATAGGATTTTGTAAGTTTAAAAGGGTTGTCCCAATTAGAGTCATAGGTAAAATGGAGTACTAGAGGCTTAGGATCTCATTGCTAAATGACAGGAGGAGAACGATAACTGGCAGGAGGTTTACAAAGGCTTGCACTCCAGGACAGCTGCAGGAAAGGGGCAAGTAATTGTGTAAAGATCCAATTATATGAGAATTGCTGGCCTCTGCACTATGCCTAGGGCTGGAGGAGGAAAGAACAGGTTTCAGGTACGAAAACTAAAAGAAAATGCATACATCTACTTAAGTTGCATGACTCTCCCCAGGCTTCTCAGGTTGGAATGAATAATAGAAATTCCCCTGCTTAATAGAGCCCCCAGGTTTTGTTGACTTTGCAACTCTCCAGAACAAGCAGGAGGCTTCAGGAGCAGAATAATTTATGCCAAGTTATTGTTTCCCACCCTCTTAAAGCCTGAACTCCTGTTAGCTCAACATCAAAATCTCATGTCCCTCCTGGGGTCTTCACTCTTCTATTAAGGAAAATCAGTCTTTTTTTCATAGACCAAGATTTTCTAAATCTTTATTTTCTGTAGATTTGTAGTAAAACTGATAAGTGTAGTTTGTATTATGTTAGGTTGTGTTTTTAGCCCTAAATACATGCTTATATTATAATACCAGAAGCATCCCTTACTTTATGCATGCCTTT